ACAAACAGATAAAAAAGAAAATTAAAAAATTTAATATTTTACACAATATTAAATAATTTAGATTTATATAACCGAATACAAATTTTGTAAGATATCTATATTAAATGATGATTTTCAATAACCATTCTACATAATATAAATAAGAACAAAATTGGTCAACCTTACATATCTTAAATAAGCTACTATATGTCCATCCAAACATGTACTCAAAAAATAAGTTAGCTTATGTCCGCCAAATAATGCATTTGTTGTACTGTACAAATGGTACATGCCTTAAGAACTACTAATTATATGGTTGATTAACATAACAACAATTTTTTGTTCCGTAGTTATGGACGTTATGGCAACTATATGCCTTAAGCTCCATATGCTCCATAGTTATGGAGGTTAGGGTCTAATCTAATGATATCTTTTTCCTTCATATCTTTAGCTCCTTAGACATACATTTTAAATCATGCAAGGATGTTGCATTCAATCCAAGAAGAGGAAATGAGGTCGATGAAGGATGCTTGCCATAAAGTTCCCAAACCTGTAAGTAAAAAACATGATCACAATCGTTACCAACTGGTTTGTGAAAGTTAARGTCCTTAATTTAAGTATATATGAATGAAGTTGTCAATTCATCTGTTCTACAGACAAATGTTAACTTGCCTACAATCAACAAGTTCTCTGATGTTAAAGTTGCTATCCTTATCAACTGCTCTCGTTGTAGAATAGCWTTGAAAGACATATGTGWGCGAAAGAAGAACCATGGCGAGTTTTCACAACAAAACCACCAGAAGATTTGATCTTCCGAATGTTGAAGGCACAAGATACAGTTAGTTGGTGGTTTTAGTAAGTGATTCAAAACGATTTTGAGTTTGGAACRGATGATACTTCTCATGTWAGTGGACGAATGTAGAATACTGGTAGATGGACAATGGTAATTATGGAATCAAGATSCCAAGGRTTCAAGTTTTAATCTTACGGGAGATGGGCTTGAACCCCTCTGCTAGCCTCGGCTCTGAAATGGCTCCTCATATGGGGTTCCTAGAGGGCGGATTCCATGTTGGGATGATCAGGCCAAGGTACTCATGATCAACCTTTACCTTAATTATGGAGTGAACAACTACAACTACAACTACAACTACAGCTGCAACTACATCTGAGTTGACAAGTTCTATTAAGAAGATGAATTCTGTAGGCTTTCAACGAGTTCATATTTGAACTTTAGATGTTTAAACTTTCCAAATATGACATGTAAAACTAACAAAAGAATCCCAAACATTACCTTCATMTGGATTATCTCCTCCTAGAAATGTTATGAACATTGACGAAAAGAATCTATTGATCTTGACCAACAAGCTAAAAAGCCTAAAACATAATAGAAAATAATGAATGAAAAAGATAAACATAAATCAACATTAATGCAAAATAAATTTAAATGGGAAAGAAAAGTTGATTACCTTGCATTACGAGCTTCCACATCCAAAACCCCTATACTTCTCTCTTCCATGATGGAAAATGAACGCAAACCATTCAATAYGAAAAGTAATTGCATTTGGAAATTGAAGGCATGAGGTAAAGTTATATAATGAGCTAGATTCTCATTAAGGTAATCATTACGGTTCGATGTGGGACACAAGTTTACTATCTTGACATCCATACGATGTGGGATAAGAAAATACGAAGAATAACCTTGAACCTAAATGTCTTTCTTGAAAATTTAAACCCGGTTTTGATGACCACTCTAGAGTTAAATTCAGATTTACGACTTTGAATTTTCCCAAAGTTATGTTGTAAGTCTGGATGCCACTTCAGAGTTAAATTCAGACTTACAACTCTGAATTTTCTCAGAGTTATGTTGTAAGTCTGGAGATCACTTCAGAGTTAAATTCAGACTTAAATTCAGTTAAACCACGAAAACAGGAAAATAAACATGTAGAGGGACAGATGTCACTTAAATAGACCTATTTGAACCGTAAGTGAAAATTGTGTCTAGATACATGTTTAGGCGGGAAAAATCAATAACTGTCGCATAAAAACATGACACGTGTCCCCAAAGTTACTTATTTATTAGGTATATAGATATGTATGTATATATGTATGTATGTATGTATGTATAATGAATAGATAAAATAAAACTTACTATGATCAATATGTAAAATTAAAACATATTGAAAAACCTCTATCTTTCTTTCTCTTCTTTCATCTCTCCTATTTTTTCTCTCGTCTCTCCTTCTATAGACATACAATTAATTAACTTTTTTTTCTTTCTAATCACATGTGATTTAAAACGTGAAAACAATTATTCAAATTAAAATTTGAAAAAGAAAAATAATTGAAACAAAATCACATGTGATTGTGTATCAAAACATATTTATTATGTGTAAAATCATATTTGATTCAAAATGTAATTCATAATTTACAACAATCACATGTAATGTTATAGAAAACTTACATTTTTTCCACTTAAATTTTCTATGATTAACGATATTTTGATGAAAATTAGCGATTTTTTTGGAAAATAAACATCAATTATTGTGTGGATATCACTTTTATTTTTGACAAAAAAAGAAAAATTATAAATACCTTAATTTAATATATTAAATAACCCTTATAAAAATAAATGAATTTCTATACATAATTCATATACAACAAATTACATTATATGTCTTTTTAAACTATGTTAAAAAAAAATTATTTCAAAACATGATACAAATAAATGATTTCCATTCAAATAACAACTATCATATTAATGTATAATTAAAGTTGACATTTTATCCATATAAATAAACATGTATTTACATAATTTTTATACACTGATTTTTATAAATCATTTTATAAATTATAATAATAATTCGAAAAACGCTAAACAAAATGTTTTTATAATAATTGTAAAAGTTAAGGTTTTCAGGTTGTTAACTTGTCATTGTTTTGTGGCCCAAAAAAGTTGGATGAAATCTATTTCTTATCATGCTTTTACGCTGTGTTTTCAAGTCTTTTTCTTATGAAAGAAGGCCGGGAAAGAGGAAAGAGGAAGGGGGGAGGAGAATCACGTACTCTCGAGTTTCTAGGAAGGGAAGGAAAAGGAAAGTAAATAAAGCTGATTTTATTTTCAAAACTTTATTTTCAAATATACGAAGAAGAAAGGAAAGAAAATGAAAGAAATAAATAAATATTAAAAATATCTATAAATTTAGTCACCAATTATAACTCTTTAAAGATAAATAGGGATATTTTATATTAAACATTTTTCCTTTTCTTTTTATGCATGAAATTGTTTTTTTTTTTTTGTTTTTTTTTCCTTCCCTCTCAAATACAAATAAAAATTTAGAGTGAACTATGCTTTTAGTCCCTGTAGTTTGATGTTTATAACAATTTTTATTCCTGATCTTTAAAAATTTACTTTTTTCGTCCCTATAATTTCTATACTTCTGTCCAACGCTGTTAAAATTGAAAAGTTAACCCACGTGACCTCAGGTTTGAAAGTCCAAAAGATGGAGTAAATTACATTTTCGGTCCTCATGGCATTTGGATTTTTACAAATTTGTCCTGAAATTTCACTTAATCGAAAATAACACACATACACACACACAAACATATATATATATATATATATATATATATATATATATATATATATAGTAGACGGGTACTCACGCAATGAACCGAGATATATCATGATTTTAATATTTCATTTTTATTCTTTATCTCAGTCGATGTTATAGTATGGTCTTATGCGATTTTGAAAAAAACGATGATGCTTTTATTTTTGAATAAAATATTAATTTGAAGATGTCATAAAAATTTGACAAAAATATATCGATATTAGTATCAAATTAACTATTTAAAATTCTTATTTTTTGTGTAATTTTTTAATTCAATTTTTTTATTATAACTTAATTTAGGTTCAATAACGAAGTAATTTATATTTTGTTTAATAATATAATTTTCTTATAAAGATAATAATTAATTATTTTGTTAGAACTCAATAATTATCCTAATTATATTTTTGATTTTTTATATTTTAAAATGAGATGTTTATCCTTTGTTGATTATGTTTATCCGTCGTTAGTTACACGACAAACATGGAGCTTTAATAAGTTGTATTTATGTATAATTTACTTGTAATATTGAATTTTAAGTAATATGCATCAATATACAGTACTTTATGCATAAAAAATGATTTTTAAGAGTTTTTGCCAAATACTTTATAATATACTATAAATATAAAGATCCCAACTTCACCTTGATAGGTTGAATAAATTTATTATAGTTGACTTAAATTAGAAATAACAACTCTTCTCAAAATCTCACTTAAAAAGTGCTCACAAGAACATTTTGTAGTCTTAGTAAAAAGGGGGAGGATGGGACAATTACTGATTCTTAAAACCAGCATTCTTAAGTTTAAAGAGTCGGCGGAGGAATGAGCTCTCTTATTTTATTACTACATGTTCAATACCCTATTTTTTTTTTCTATTATCTTATTTATATTAATTAACATATCATATTATTATCTTTAATTTTATTATAAAATTTTGTAATTAACTAATTTTCCAAGATGTTTTTTTTGGTCATTTTACATTCTTACAAGCTAGTTTTACCAAACAAGATTTTTTTAACAACTAGTTTGCAAAACATTAAAAATATGCATCTCTTTCGATCATTTAGAAGGATGAACGAAATCTAACAAAAACAAACAATAAAAACTCGTAAACAAATGAAAATATAAAACCATCCAATGTTTCGGTCCACCGAAAACACGAACACAAACTATGATTTTCATTTCACTACCAAAAACAAACACCAAACGTATAACTTCTCACTCGACACATTACAGAACAAACAATACTAACCTGAAAACACCACAACGCACATCCACAGCCATTCGATCAAACAAACAAACCACACTGTTTTGTGAATGAAGGCTCTCTAAAATCACAATCATTAATACTTTCATGTGATGATTTAGCACTTCATCCTCTTCATCATAATCTTCAATCCCTCCACATACACCTTCAAAAGATGATTTCAATCAAAGAAAACCAAGTCCCCAAAACCCCAAGAATCACACCCAAAACAATCATCCCCAAATCCCACATACTTTCCTTCCTTTGCATCTCATTCTTGAAAGTAATATAATGAAATAAAGAAGGTAAAACCAACCCCAATATACAACAAGTACTACTTCCAACCAATGACAAGAAATCTGTAAAATTTGGCACAAAAAGAGCCACCAAACTCACCACCATAACCAACACCCATCTCATCCATAAACAATACCTTCCTTCCCAATATCTTCTTTCCATAACTTCATAAACTGGATGCATCATCAATGGAAATGTGAAGAAAAGATTTATACAGAGACCCAATTGGACCAAACTGCTGAGAATTCCTTTACCCATGTTTGCAGTGATGATATCTCTTGTGTTTTCACCAAAAGCAAAGTAACCCAATAAGCCAAAGAACCCGTACATGGCGGCAATGAAGGCCATCGCCCATGCCAACACTGTTCCAAAGTTTTTCTTGTCTTTGGCTTCTGATTCCAATGGCAATGCCATTCCGATTCCTTCGAAGGAGAAAAGAGCGACTCCGAGACCGTAGCAGAACATTGGAAAGGAGCCGAATGCGTAGACGGTGGTGGTGCTTTTCATGAAAACGTTGATATCTTCGACCATGACGACGGCCATGGCTCCGACGTCGACAATGTCGGCGAAGATTGACATTGGGGCTAAAAGGGTTAGAGTTGGAATGGCGTTTAGTCCTAATTGGAATGGGAAACAGCTCCAGATGTAGAAAGTTTTGGCTTGTAAACCCCAAATGCGAGAAGTGGCGTTTAAATAATGGCGGGATTCGATTGGGGTGGAATTGAAAAGATTGGCTAAAGTGTTGCCGATGAAGATTAAGTATCCGACGCAAAAACCGGCTTGGGATGCGATGATCATTATATCGACGGCGAGACGACCGATGGGACCTGAAACTGCGAATCCCAGATCTCCGAAAGAATTGATTTTGGAATAAGACAGTGGGGATTCGAGTTTTCTTCGGGTTTCGATAAGGAGCATCATGCCACGGTAGACAAGGCCGGCGACGGCGAAAATCATGACGAATCCGGTAACCCAACCGGTGCGCATGAAGGTATACGGCAGACCAAGAACGCCGGCGCCGACGATGGCGATGAAAACGTTCGCAAACGTCTTGGGCGTGGAGGATAAAGAATCATGGTTTGCGAGGAGAGGCGAATCTTCCCTCGGAACCGATGGAAAGCCGTTGGAGGATGAAGTTGCCTCATTTTTCTTCTCGGAAACCATGCCGGATAAACTAAACCGACGATCGGAAACCAAAAAACACCCTCTTTTCTGTAAATTTGCAGCGATCTGGACAAGATTACATCAAAATTGGATCAGATAATGGGTTGGATTTGGGAGAAAGATTACAAATGGAGAATCTGTGATGAAATAAAATGGTGGGTATGGGAGAGAACCGATCAAAAGAAGGGGATTTGATGAGATATGTTGTAGGGGATGGAGAGGCGTGGCGTATTTGAATTTGATGGAGGAAGTGACAGATGTAGGGATGAAAGTGGATGTGCGTCAGCGGCTATCCGCGTAATTTGAGTACGATGATTGGTTTGTTTGTCTCCTTTCGGGGGTCCGTTAAGATATTTTTTTAAGAAATTTGTCGTTTCTTGTGTTTGGGCCTTGGGGATTAGATATTTTAAACAGAGCCAATGGGAATCAACCAACTCAAGGTTTAATATTTTAAACATGTTTTAATTAATGTTAATTTAATAAAAGTTTAAAATAAAAAATTTAAAAAAGAGTAACGTAAAGTAAATTAATTAACTAATTATAGGGATATAAAATGTAATTTTAAAATGAAAATTTAAAAAAAATTGGTTTCATATGAGAAGGTGAGTATATGAACGGCTGATGTAAGGAGTAAGGGATGAAAAGTAAGGTAAGGGGGTATGAATATCAACCCCCAAATTAAATATATATAATGAATTACATTCATCTTCAATAGATTTTTTATTTTATAGAATCTAATATTAATTATATTACTAAAATATTATTTTCTTTTTAAATATTTATTTTTAAAGTTTTATTAGTCTCACTTGATAATCATTTTTGAGGTTATCTCAATATTTGAAGAAAAAACTCTTCTCTTTCGTACTTTCTTCATTTTGGAGATAGTTATGGAAAAGCTCTTGGAGCAAAATATTGGTTTAAAATCCCTATTTTTTTTCCATTTTAAAGAAGTTGTTGGAGATGCTCTGATATTAACGAAAGACAAAATAATTCAGTATGGAGTTTTTTTTTTTAAACAAATAAAGGGTATCATTAATGAGCATTTGAAGGGTACATGTAGTTCATAAAATGAGTTAGGAAACCTGGCTTAGCAAAGTATGAGATTGGACAAGAAGATAACTGAATTCTCTATGCTAACGTATAAGCCATTTCATTAGTTTGTCGCTTGGTGGAACAAACTGCATAATAATCATGTTGAAGAAGTAACATGCGACATCTCGATACAAAATGTCCGAATTCCGTTTCATCATCTTCGGTTGAATTGGTGGCAACAACTTGTTGGGCGTCGAACTCAAAGATAACTTGGTGATACCCAAGGTCGATTGCTCATCACACAACTTCCAAGAGGGCAAGAGCCAGAAATTTATTTGAGTGGATGCACCTTTAAGATTGATTAAAGGTCCGCAAAAATCGCAATTTGACATAGGGAGAAAGTCAACATAATTTGACTTAGGAAAAAGTCAATTTTGTCGATTTGAGTAACTACAGATAGAATAAACCTTGATCCTTAAAGTAAATATATGTTGCCTTGAAAATGACATAAAAGGCTGCAAATTTTAAGCTAAATAAAAATGGGAGGAAAATAAATCACGGAAAAAGATAATAGAATCGAAATGGGAGAAAAATCAACAAAAAGTTGTCTTGGCAAAGTGGTAGCAATAATGCTTATAATTGTATTTGAGGTTCTGAGTTTGATCCTTCTAACTATATTTTTGTTGTCAATATTTTCAGAAATATCATTGTAGGACTTGAGTAAATTTCCTTACTGGGCCCTGAAGCCTAATTGAGAGATTTAAATCCATGACCTCTAGCATGTGGAGTGAAGTGGTAATACTACCATCCCACCAATGTAAATTTCTATTATAGATTAGGTTTCAAAGTATTTAAGGGCATCCTTTAAAATCAAGCGGTTGCACTTTTCAGACGACTATATCATTTTCTGTTGCAATGATCGAGTGAGCGGATGCATAGGAGCCCGCTCAGCTCCTACTGGGTCCACCCATGGCAAGAGCCTCACAATCCTTTACTAGCGGAATCACCGTTAGAGTAACTGTACAAGCAACAAGAGACCATTTGTATCCCGAAAAATAGCAGCTAGCCCAACAGAGTGGTTGTTTTCAAAGTTCAAAGGGGGTTTGAGCTCGTCGATGGACCTGGTTGGGTTTCCAGAGCCTTGGTCTTCAACCAATCCCCATACACTTCTAAGTCGTTGTACAAGGTTATGGGACGTTGTTCTCAAGTTGTTATTCCACCACACATCATTTCTCTGCCTCTACATGCTCCACAAAATCGTGGGGAATTTTTCGTTAATTGGCTGGGGACAAGCGTTTAGCATGGAAAAGAACATATCGAAGAAATCATTGGCTTGGTTGGTCTTCCCATCTATTAGCTCAAACAATCCAGCTTCCCTCTAAACATGCTTGGTGAAACGGCAGTCAATGAATATATGCCAAGTATTTTCTAGGTTTTTACTGTACTGTAACTCCACGAGATTGTAGGTTCACTTGAGTTGGCAGCACGTTTCGTACCCCTCTCCAAAGAAAGGTTCTAACTTTATATGGGATATTAATATTCCAAAGCTTCAAACATTTCCCATAATAAAAGTAGTAGGAGTTTAGTTCAAGAACCTTTGTACCCAGCCGTGTAATTCATAAAACAGTGAATTACATATTAGGTATGGTGGCAAAAGAATTATCTAAACTATATTATAAAACATTTGACAAAAACTCTTAAAAATCATTTTTATACGTAAAAGTACTGTTTATTAATGCATATTACTTAAAACTCAAGATTGTAAATAAACATAATCAAATATAGGATAAACATCTCATTTTAAATATAAAAAATCTAAAATATAATTAGGATAATCATTGAGTTATAACATAATACTTAATTATTATCTTTATATAATGTTATATTATTAAACCAAAAATAAATTATTTCGTTATTAAACTAAAATTAAATTATAATAAAAAAATTAAATTAAAGAAATTACATAAGAAATGAGAACTTTTAAATAGTTGATTTGATATTAACATTGATATTTTTTTTTTCAAATTTATATTTTATTCAAAAATAAAATCATTATTGCTTCCTTAAAAACACATAAAAACATATTAAATATTGACAGGGACAAATAATAAATAGGACATTAAAATCGAGATGTGTCTCGCTGTATTACACGAGTACTCTTCTAGTACATATTTAAATGTTTATTGGTCTATAAAAATAAATAATTCGATTTTCTTCTATAATTTCAGTACCACCTATCTTTAATATAATATTGAACTAAAATTTCAGATACTATCTCATAAAAAAACAAACAACATCGTGATTAAAATGTTCTTAATAATTTAATTCACACCAAAAAACAACTATTTGATAACCGGTAAATATTTTGAATAGACAACAAAAAAAATTACTATTTAAACCCTATACGTAGTTAGTATGGAATAAAATATAATTATTTAATAAGTGTTTTAAATTAATAAATTACTTTACATATATAATTATTTGACAAATATAAATGGATTAAATACATGAAATAACAATGTACTTTCTAATAATTTCTTATTATAACATTGTACTTTCATTTTTTTTTTCCTGTTACAACATTATAAAAAATTACGTGGACAGTGATACATCATAGAAATTTGTTAACCTGTGTCACATTATCAAAATTTAAATTATTACATCAACGATATATTACAAGTAGATATCTTACGTGCATAGTGATACATCATAGAAACTTGTTAACCTGTGCCACATTATCAGAATTTAAATTTTCAAGTTACCCATTGATAACAAAAGCATTAAAAACCCAAAATAAAAATCTAGAAAACATAAAATTTGCTAGATACATCATAAAATTTGTGTAGTCGGGTTCAAGTGAGAACAATAACCAAATAGAAAAATAAGTAAAAGGAAGGATATTAACCACACAATTCATTAAATAACTAGTTGTATACTCGCGTAATGCGGCGAGAGCCATGAATTTTAATGATTTTGAAGTTTTACTGATTTTATTAGAGAAGATTTAACGATGATATGTGTTACACTTGGTCTTTACATATTAATACAATTTGAATAAATAAGAGTTATAGTTCCAATTACAGTCTATCGATGAAAAAAATTGTATGACAATTTAAAATCCAATATATTTAAAATCCAACATATTTAAACGACTCCACAAATGTGTTCGATTTACACCAAGAGCAAATAATCAAGAGATTGAGAGCGAGACCGAGAGTTTTAAAGCAATTGAATGTGAGAACTTTTAATAACTCATGGTGAATATCAATTTGAATATCACCTTAAGGGATGGGGAGAAGACATAGAGGTATGAAAGTGTGAAGACATGATTAAAATATGTCAAAAGTATCTTGGGAACATGAAAAAAAAAAGTAATAATGTGCATTGGTAACTTGTACTATACGTGTTTTTAATTGTAGATTAAGAGATTTTAAGACTGAATGCATAAAATAGTAGTACTTAATGCATTATAAGTTGTTTTTAAGACTTTGTGCATTAAAAATTGTTTTTAAGACTTTTGATAAATCTGGTTTATAAAATAGTATAGATTTAGATGTCTTAAATAAAAAAAAAAATTCTAAAAATGAATAAATATGAACATAAAAGTTATTTATTTATGGGATTGCTAAACATACCCCTTTCTACTAATCGATACCTCCACGGCCCACCTATACAACATCTCCTCTCACACTTCTCTCTCCTCACCCGGTGTCCTGTGACCTCAGTTCACTTTTTTATATTTAAATGTATTTTGCTGTATATCTTTTAATTTTTTATTTTCTATTTCACTTTTATCATATTAACATACATAATAGTATATCAACTAAAATATAAATGAATATATCATTTAAAATAGAAGAGTTGGTAAGGGTAACAATTTGATTGGTTGGTTTTTTTCAACAAGTGAATCTTGAGAGATCTCAAATCAAAGGCTGTATACGTTTGTTTAGTACTGCAATATGCAAGTACTGCAATATGCAAGTACATGTGTGGTACCACTTGTGTAGTACCAACCAAGTACAACATCCCAAACCTTATATAACTACATGCATTTCCACCTTTCCTTTTGGACTATCATACATACACATAAACATACATACATACATACAAGAAGTACATCAAGATTGATGTGTTTGTGGAATGACGAAGACTCACGATCCAGATTTGGCATTGTCGTCTTCGTCATTCACAAACACATCAAACTTCATATACTTCCCATGTTTTCTTTTGGATAATACATATATACATATATGCAAGAAGTGTATCAAGATTGACGTGTTTGTAGAACGAGAAAGACCCACGATCAAAATCATGCAAAGTTTATGTCTGATTTGGTATTGCGTCTTCATCATTCACAAACACGTCAAACTTCATGATCACGATTAAGGGGATTGAATGGTTAGATGCATTCATACTCTCTTCGAAGTCTAATGTCACTCAAAACCTATGATGTTTTGTGTTTTTAGCTTTTTAATGGCTTTTTTGTATCTAAACTCTAATTCTAAATCTTAATTCACATCTTAAGTTACTCAATTTCCTTTTTGAAATTTTCAATAAATACTTTATTTCTGTTCATCAGATAAATTACGGGCCGGTTACTAAACACTTACTTGGTAAGTGCTTATCAAATAAATTTCCTTATCAGATAAACATGAAAAGGGCCAAGAATCCTGTCGGATAAGAGCAATGGAAATGATAGAAAGTCTTACCGGTAAGTAAGAAATACGACTCTTACCTAGGTAAGCACTTACCCCGTAACTTGTTGCATTCGATATGTTATGATGTACTAAAATTTTACGTATCAAAATAAATTATAATGTTTAATCCTATCAGTAAACATTTAGGTAAACGACTCCTACGTCAAGATGGAATTTACTTTGTTCATAAGTTTCATTTTGGTGTTTTTGACAAAAAAAAAATCATAAAAAAATTAATTAAAATTATACTTTTTGTTTACAAAGTTGATACCTTATCCATTGGTTGCATTCAAATGATCTATGCCTTATCCATTGGTTGCATTCAAATGATCTATGCCTTATCCATTGGTTGTCATTAAGGAAAGCTAAGGTTGCAACTTTAATGCTTTTAATATTATTTATTCTAAGTACATGTTTGCAGAATGAATGAGGATGGGGATTTGATTCCAGATTTCTAGGCAATATATATATATATATATATATATATATATATATATATATATATATATATATATACAAGAACGAGAGAACATCCCAATAACCTTATATTGTGATAAAAAATAAAATTAAAAGATTTTTAAAATTAAAATTAAAATTTAAAAAGATTCAAAAAAATTTAAAATTAAAAAGGTAATAATGAAAATGATATCATCAAATCTTTTAAACACGATCATTATTATCATTAGTCTTATCATTATCTAGTAAACGGTTAAGAATTCAAAGAGACTCGTAACTTCAAATCGCAAAACAACCGACCGAAGCAAACCTTGATCGACGGTGATCGACCAAGAACCCTAATCGAGAAGCCATTGCATGCAACAAGCTGACAACAAGAAGAAGTTTATTCAAGGTATCTTTCAAAATTACTCGTTTTAAACAAGTTTTTAATCGATTAGTTGTGATACTCATGTGATATCAATGTCACTCGATTTGATYATGGTTTCAATTGGTTATGTTAGACATTATCACAACGATTTCGAATGGTTTCGATATATACTAGGTGCGATAATCATGTGATATGAGTATGATAATCACCATTATACATCACTTGGGTTATCGTTTTGGTTGATAAGTTAAATTTTTTGGAGTAAACATGTGATATGGGTGTGATAATCACCGTTATACATCACTTGGGTTATTGTTTTAGTTGATAAGTTAAATTTTTGGTGTGATAATCATGTGATATGGGTGTGATAATTACCGTTATACACTGGGTTATCGTTTTGGTTGATAAGTTAAATTTGTGGTGTAACCATGTGATATGGGTGTGATAATCACCGTTATACATCACTTGAGTTATCGTTTTGGTTGATAAGTTAAATTTTTCGATGTAATCATGTGATGTGGGTATGATAATCATCGTTATACATCACTTGGGTTATCGTTTTAGTTGATAAGTTAAATTTTTGGTGAGATAATCATGTGATATGGGTGCGATAATCACCGTTATACATCACTTGGGTTATCGTTTTAGTTGATAAGTTAAATTTTTGGTGTAATCATGTAATATGGGAGTGATATGGAGAAGAAGAAAACTAACAAGAGTAAAACATAGGATAATTATGGTTAATTAAAATAAAATAAAAATTATAAAAATTACTTAATTACATTACTGCCCTTATTAAATTATTTATATATAATAAAAGTTAATATATTAATTAAAAAAGTTTGAGGTTATTAAATTATTCTCGCGTTCTCGTAAATCACAGGGGTTCTTGTTTGAACCTCCACATATATATATGGTTTTAACTATAGGGTTTTGGACCAGCTTGCACACATCTTCATTACTTCTATAAGACCTTGAGGACAGTTAGGAAAATCCTAAATGGCTTTAGAGGGACTCGAACCGTAACTTATAAGGAGGAGCCTCAAAAGCTCTATTGTTATTGCCTGACCTAACTCCTCAAGGTGGAATCTATTATGTCCATTTGCAACTATGGAAATAAAAATCATTTTCATTTTTTTTACTTTCTGTAATACTTACCGTTCCAAATCTTGAGGAATTGTCTTCCGGATGTCTTCAGAAAACCTTTGCACACCTTCGTTATTTTTTGCACAAAGATTTGGGGTCAAAGTTCAAAGGTGATCACGGGCGATCATTTTATAAGTTTCTTTGGCTTCAATCGGGAGAGAAGCACGAGCAACTGCAAAAGCGACACAACATATCAACATAAATGGATCCAAACTCTTTGGAATCTTAAACATACAACTACTAATATGCTAGAAAAAGTTGAGGATGCCGTCCAGTCATTATGCCGCGTACCTCTCATGATTTCTTCAGGAGAAGCAAAAGTCAAAATCTCAAAAAAAAAAAAATTAAATTCAATTTCAATAGTTTCTCCATAATTTCTTCAAAATAAAGAAGCAAAAGTCAAAATCTAAAAAAAAAATTCAACTTCAACAGTCTCTCCATAATTTCTTCAAAATGAAGAATCAAAAGTCAAAATCTCTAAAAAAAAATTAAATACAACTTCAACAGCTTCTCCATAATTTCTTCAAAATAAAGACGTAAAAGTTAAAATCTCTAAAAAACTTAAATTAACAGTTTCTCCATAATTTCTTCAAAATGAAGAAGCAAAACTCAAAATCTCCAAAGATTCATTGAACTCCCAACAGTTTCTCCATTTACTTTTGGAGGATTCTCCAAATTAGTAGAAAAAATTCATTTCAGATAAATAGTTGGAGGCTTGAGCAACCAAAAAAGAGTCTTAACAACTCCAAAACCTCATTTTTCTCCCTTTTGTAGAACCAACAGGTTTTCTATGATGTTTTCAATATCCATATCTCAACTGCCTTGCAGCATTACATCTGCTTCAAACCTGAATCTGTCCTGTTTTTCAAAGAAATAAACCTCACAAGTATAATGTGACTTACCTTCTCCATGCCTCCACCTATATATCTTGGAAGATCACAGCATTCAGCAGCCAAGAAGTGATGGATCATGGCAAGGTCTGTGTAACTGGTGCATCTGGGTTCCTGGCTTCTTGGCTCATCAAGCGACTCCTGTCGGCTGGTTATCATGTCATTGGCACAGTTAGAGACCCTGGTTCGTGTTATGTGCTCAATCTGTTGTGCATGTCTAACGCGCTACTGATGCTAATTTGTGGTTAAATTATCAGGAAATGATTCAAAACTAGCTCACCTGTGGAACCTGCAAGGGGCAAAGGAGCGGCTACGCCTAGTGAAGGCTGAACTAACGGAAGAGGGAAGCTTCGACGATGCGATCTTGGGGTGTGAGGGTGTCTTTCACACCGCTTCCCCTGTTCTTGGAGGACCTGCTTCTGATCCTAAGGTATGTTTTGCAGTTTCAAGTCTAATCATAAACCAAACCATTACAAACCCAGTATTTCTCACCTTGCAGGTAGGGTCTATAAAGGGTAAGATGTAAGCAAACTTACCTCTAGTTTGTAGGGTATGTTTTGTAGTTTCAAGTTTAATCGTAATCAAAACCAAACCAAATAATCCCAGTATATCTCATCGGAAGGTAGGGTAGGGGGAGAGGAAGATGTTGGATAACGTTACCTATAATGTATGCTTTGTAGGTTCAAGTCTAACCATGAAGCAAACCAAACAAACCCAGTATTTCAGGTTTTTAACTAAATGACCTCTTGATAAGTGATTTTTAAATCCATGACCTTCTGACAGGTTTTTAGGCATTCTTGTGTATTAAAGTGATATTTTCAAACCTGTCATAAGGTCATTTAATTGAAGGACCCCAGTATATCTCACTCGAAGGTAGGATCTGGGAGGGGGGTAAGATGTAAGCAGACGTTACCTTTAGAGTATGTTTTGTAGTTTCAAATCTAATCATGGTTCCATCTTTTTGCACTTTCTCCAGGGGGAAATATTAAAGCCAGCTATTGATGGAACACTGAACGTGCTAAGTTCATGTAAAAAGAACCCATCATTAAGACGAGTGGTTTTCACCTCCTCATCTTCCACACTCAGGGTGAGAGACGATTTTGACCCCAAAAAAGTAACTATAGATGAGTCGTCTTGGAGTTCCGTTGAATTCTGTGAACGACTCAATATTTGGTATGTACTGTCCAAAACCATGGCAGAAAAGGCAGCATGGGAGTTCTGCAATGAGAATGGGATCAATCTCGTGACCGTTCTCCCCTCATTTGTTGTTGGACCCAGCCTACCTCCTACTTTATGTTCTACGGCATCAGATATCCTGGGCTTGCTACAAGGCAAGTTCTCCAAAACCTACATAGTAAACCAAAGTTGGGATCATGTGAGAACGGTGAGAACACTTGTGAGCCTTTGGATGAGTTTTTTTATTTGATGGCTCACAAAAAATGCAGACCTTCACCTACCTTCATTTGATGGCTCACAAAAAGACGCGAACGTTCATCTACCTTCACCTTTAATCACCTTCACCTACTTTCACATGCATGATGCATGAATTTGTTAAAAGTTTCAGCAATAGCGATACAAGTAGGTATGTGGAGGTGAATGAAGATAGATGAAGGTGTGTGAATGCAAGTGGATGAAGGTGATGAAGGTCCGTGTTCTCACCGCTCTTGCCAAAAACACTGTTCTCACCAGAACCCAACACTATATCATGTATCATGGAAACCATTTATAACAAAACTTTGGATGAACCAGGGGAAACGGAGAGATTCAAGTGGCATGGGAGAATGGGATATGTTCACATAGACGATGTTGCACGTTGCCACATTCTAGTTTATGAAAATGAACAAGCTGAAGGACGATATATATGCAGCTCAACTGTCATCAATAATGATGAACTCGTATCAATTCTATCAGAAAGCTATCCCACACTACCCATTCCAAGGAGGTACTAAAACTAGGATGAAATGAAACTTTGGTTGCAATTTGTTTCAAGTAAAGGGTAAGATGTACCATAATATTGCATTACTGAACAAACATGATTTTGCAGGTTTGAGCAGCATGATCGACCATATTATGAGTTTGACACAACAAAGCTGAAGAGTTTAGGGTTCACGTTCAAGCCGATTCAAGAGATGTTTGATGACTGCGTAACATCTTTGGTGGAGCAAGGCCATCTTTCTATCCCTTAGTTAAGCTGGAAGCCTTTGTAGTTGATTATATCAACAATGATACCACAAGTCTCCTAATATTTACGGATCCAACTTTTTATTTAAAGTAATCAAAACAAACATGGTCTTGACCTCAATATACTATCAGAACATAGTTCTGCCATCAAATAGAAAAAGACAAGTTGAACCGTTATATAGAAGCATACAACATCAGATGGTAAGCATTAGTGCTCTTGGTGGCTCAAATGTACGATCACTGAACTTTTTTGAATAAAACCCGAGATAGGAAACAGAAGAAAAGGAAAACTGTAGCCTCGAGTTGGCTCCTATAAGTAACTGCAGCTTCTATCTGCCTATTTCTTAGAGAAAATAATTATGGTACCATAAAGACTCAGCAAAACTCGTGCCAGCAAGATTCTATACCTCTGAAAAGATCTAAACAAATGAAAATATATAGACATCACCACCATTTATCCGAGAAGGGACAGTTTTTGAACCAATTCTGTTGAGCATGTTACACTCTTGACCTGCAACTGAACTGAGATCATATTTTAATATTGAGAAGTTACAGAGCAATACATAGTATTTGAATTATTAAGGAAGAAGATGAGGCCACTCACTTCAATGGACACTAAGCACTCTGGATTCCCAATTGTTGGAGGGAATCTGGTCCAACAATAAATACGCACTTTAAGGTTTGGTGTCGGAAGACTACAACTCCCTTATATGCTGTCCTTGGTATGCCATCCTGAATAAAGTATAAAACATAAGTTATTGTTCTATTGTTGCGCTTATTTACAAAAATGCCCGCAACAAGCCAACGGTTAAGTATGGAATAGCCACGTAACTTTTATTTTATATGCAAATTGTAGGATATATTGCAGGCCTGTATAAACAACTTGTGAGGTGCTTGAAGCAAAAGGGAGAGGGGGAGGGGTTGGGTGAGGATAAGTGGATAACATTTCCAATATTATATATAAATTCCAGCCACTCTTCCTTTTGAGGTACAGGCCAGGACTGCGTACATCCCACCACTCCCAAACCTGCTTTCGGGCGGGAAATATCGGGTTTGTTTGGTTTAATTTAGACAACAAAAGTTACCCATTTAAAATTATATGGAAATCACATTATAAAAAATAGAAACAAAAAAAAGTCAACATGGAAATGTGATACCTTCCACTCGTCAAATATGCCATATTGGTGGGCAATGTTTTCAAAATGTGATTGATCTCTATACTGTATACGCACATCTCCATCCACATTATTTGTCTTCGAAACAAGATCAGTTCCATCAAGTGGCTTAGCATTTTTCACCAGGTCTGCAAAATATTTCACAAACTTATCCTACAAAGAAACAAACACAAGTCTTCATGAATATTCAAAATGGTCAATCACTCATTCCATTTCTCTTCTACCTTTCAGTCATTAAATAACTTTTTAACTGTGAAATGCATACCTCCATTAGGTAGCTCAAGTTCATCGACTTCCAATCAACCTTTATAAGAACATAAAGAATAATTAATGGCACAAATACTGAAGAACCAGCAGAAACAAACTAGATACAGCAAGTCTCTGTTTTTATATACCTGGATATCATTTAGTTTAATAGGTTTAAGATACTGTTGGAAGAACTGTCCCAAACTAGAACCCTGAAAAAAATGAAATAGATAGAAGTAATCAGGATATCAGAACGTTTTTATGTCAAGTTACTTGAGGTAGGCTAAAAATGAGGTAATCAGCCTTGTAAGTATTGCTTCAACAGAAGCACATAATTTCACGTTTCAGGTATGCCTATGCAAAATATGAAATGAAAAGTTGACTGAAGATACCTACATGCTCCCCAAAATTATACGTCCTGCAGACTTCTGGACGAATAAACTGCCGCCCTCTGTGATTCTCTTGTAATCTTAGCCAGTCATCCCAGTAAGTAATATTTTGTCAAAGAAAATTCCCACTTGACATAGAATAAAAGAATGGCAAATTACAAACTTGCTGAAAAGGATATGCCTTTGGCCACTTTGGGGAAAGCTCATCCCAGGTAGGTTTGGTTAGCATCCATCCAAGACCAGGAAAAAAATCTGATCTATATAATGTATCTGCAAAGGTGTATATTTAAGTAGATCAGATACACATGGCTTCTTTTTGGAGAATTGACAAAAAGAAAAGATAAAACCCACACTTTCAATAAGAGCTACAACTAGGTCACCACAGCTTATATCCATCTTCTATGAAATTGTTGTGCATAGTCCAAAATACAGTAGCATAGACAAGTGATAGACTTACAAGGATCATGCACAAATTGTTTTTGCCCATTGTCATTCCATGAGGAGATGGCCATGATTGACCTATTGTGGTTTAACAGGAAGGATTACAGTTTTTAAGCATTGACAGAATTCTCTATGATCAAAGTATATAAAGTCATCATAGTTCATGCAAAAGACTTACTTATCTTTATCAAGGAGGTCTGCTCCAGCCTCGAAGTACTCAAAAAAATCAGGAGAGATCTCCATATCATCTGCATCGCAAGATGTCTAATTTTAGAATGTCTTTTCATATTTCAGAACATATTTCAACAGAAGTAATATACTTTAAGATACGTACCTTCAAGTATTATGACCCGATTAAAATTATGTTTGTAAAACAATTGATCCAGTGCCCACTTGTAGTGACCTGAAAATACGGTGGTAATGCATGGGGAAAAGTTTATCCACTGTAAGAGGCAGAATGGAACTGAGAATGTTTGTCAAAAGTATCCTACGTGCAATCTTGTAATATGCAATTAACTCCTCAGGCCTCTCCATATGTACAGGTTCATAATCCAAGTGCTGCAACAAAAATGGAGATAGACTTCAAAACATGATTGTTCAACCTGATGGAGTAGTGTTTAACTTAAGGAAGCATTATGGCATTGAGCTATAACATAATTTAGTAAGAAAAATCACATCTTTAAACTCAGATAGTTAACAAGCCTCAGCAGAAAAAGTACTACACAAGATGCTAGAGAAAAAAGACAAGTTACGAATAGGAACTAGAAATGCTCAGGACTTCAAGCCTGCACCACTAATTTGACTCTTTCGTAATACACCTTTAATAGTGAACAATCTTTATCCAAATCAAGTTTATGAAGGTCATTTTGCATAACCTATAAGCCTAACATTTAATAGTGAACAGTCTTTATCCTGTAAGCATAACCTATAAGCCGCATGAAAAGAAAAACTGCTTTGTTGTATATGAATTCCCTTCTTTCTTAATCAATTGCCAAGGAAAAAAAGCAATAGAAGACTAAGCCGGCAAAAATTGGAGCATCTACACCATTTATCATTGCTCAAGCAGTAACATGCAGATAACATTTACCTGCATGTAGGTCAGCTGATCATAACCCATCGCCATTGTCCTAACATCAGAATTCGAACCGTCCTGAAAATTTTAATATTTAAAGAGAGGGGTGCATAGCTTACCAAGGAAATTAGTAAACTGAACTAATGTTCCAACAATTAGTGCCTTATACATACCTGGGATACAAAAACCGGAAACTTCAATGCAACAGAACTATGATATCTGGAAATCACAAAGAATGGTGCGATAATAAATCTACAGAAGGTTAAATGACTTACAGCAAAAATAAGGATAAGTATTATGTGCATAAAAACATACTTTAATATAGATTTAATGGTCCTTTCCAGATAATCAGCACGGTTACAAGCCATAATCACAACAGCTGCCACTGGCACCTAGAATGATGAAGCACATGCATTGATTATAGAAGAGAGTGATCTCTGGACAGGAAATTAGAAAAATTGATTCTTTCTTATACAAACCTCTGCTTCCCGTATCAAACTTCCGACAGCTTTCTCTGAAAAGTGATAAGAAAACAATCAGATTGCGTACAGCATGTTGTTTCAAGTGCCATTACACCACAAACCAGGGAGGAGCCAATATAACACCAGGTCGGCAGAAGCTGCCCAAAATTATCAAAAATTAATCTGTTTGTACCTTTCAAAATTTTCCATTTATAGGTTGGTCAATCCAAATTTACATGTTATACTAAAAACAATTTCTTCAAATTGCATTATAATGTAGATATTCTATAAGATCACTCCGTTTATATTACCCCGTCCATCCATAGAGAGAGTACAGTTCACAGTTTTTCTTTGTCCCAAAGCAGTCCTATTTGAAATTTTAACACAGAAAAATGCCATGTTTCTAAGTTACCTATGCTTTTTTTCCAAAGATAGGAAACAGAGCTATTCTATTAAATTTATTCAATCAAGTGTAAATTTTTCCAAATAATTGTATTTAAAATCTTTTTAGATCTTGAAGTGGAGCAACTTTCTGGGATTTGGGGAGCTTGGAGGGGGGAGGGGAGATTTATTCTTTTATGACAGAGAATTGCTTGATCGTCAATTATGTTGCATCATGTATGCCTTTTCTGGAAATTTTCTCTTGCTTTGTCCCTGAACCGTACTTCTGAGAAGAAGAATATACCAACCAAATGCCCAATATTATGCCATTTGTTAAGAATTCTTCCTTTCATGCAAGATTGTGGCTTGTTTCCACGCAATTTAAACAAAGCTAATAGGCATCCCCAGAAATAGTGGCAAAAGAGGAATACCTATGCAAAGAAAATTCAGACCTGTATTGTATGCCAAAAATTGACCACAGAACATATATATAGCGCATACATGTAGCGACTTTACCTATACATAAAATGTCCTTATGCTTTCAGAACCTCCTCGTATTTATAATGTAAATAACAAGTAAGAATTCTGTTACTCAGAGAAGAGAACAGCATTAAAGAAATAAAAAACGAGAGAGAGGTGATGGTAGCTACTTACTTTCAAGATCTTGAACAACTGTCCTTAATTGTTCACACTCGTGTTCTTTACGTTTTACTTTTTCTGAAACAGCAGTAGTAAATGTACAACACCAGATTAAAAAGGTAATATCTCTTCATGATAAAAATAATAATAATAAGTACTAAGATGGAGATGCAGAAATAATTCAAATTTCCTCTTTGCCTTCTAAAAAAAGGCACTTTTATGCTACTATGTAGCTTTTCTCTCTAACCTTTAAAGAGAATAATGCAGAGACATCCTCCAGTCAACATATAAACCAACGAAGCTAGTATGTCCCAGTCGAAAGTAGGGGTCTAGGGGGTGGGATGTATACAATCTTGTCCTCTACTGCTAAGGGTCGAGGGCTCTTTCCATGAAGACCCCCGTTTGTGAAAACGTGTGAGTGAAAAGGTAAGAAGTACAATAGTTGGTAAATAGTAAGCAACTATTAAAAGAAAATTGAGTAAAAAGTAGGTACATTGAAACATAGAATTTAGAAAAGGTAAAAAACACACACATCCCTCTATCTATCATAGAATTTTAATAACCTATTTGTCAACTGTCTAACCTTCCCCCTGTCCCACCCTCAACCTCTCCAGATCCCTTCTTTCTGTCCATGCTAGCTACATGTCCCTACACCAAGTCTGCTACCCTGGTCCTGAGTCTCTAAGAACTATTAATGGTCATGTCCTCGGAAATGTCTAAGGCCATCATTTCCACTCTCCTCACTGTTGCCGCCCTTTGTCTCCTATGAATGCGTCCATACCACTGCAATTTTCCATCTCTCAATTCATTTGTGCAACTCCCAACTCATCCGGGAAGTCGGAAGACCTGGCTCGGTATCTTGTCTAACATGGTATGACCACATGTCCATCTAAGCATCCTCATTTCTGCAACATCCAACTTCCTCTTGACCTAGTGGCCACTAGGAAGCAAACCCAGGGTCTCACCAGTTGAGCTACCCCAAAGGGTTATGTTAAACTTTGTCTGTAGCACTTTAAGTGGTATTTAGAAAGAAAACATATGCAGCCCTAAACTTGTCTGATAGTAATATAATAAGCATGCCCACAACACTCTGGGTACATGTTGGGTCATATTGGATGCATATTTATGGAAAAATGGAGCCATCAAACTGTAAAACAAGACAGCTTTTTCTCAGAATATTTTCTAAGGCAAAAAAGTCACAAAAGTATGTCATTGATGTGTTTACGCTTACTCCCAAAATTACAGCATTGAACCTGCAAGACCCCTTCATTTAACTTCCTCTAACTATATCTGAGTAACAATGTCACCAAGATTGGAGTTTAAATAAAGTGATGGCTGTCAGGTATCTTCGTGGGTAGGCAATCACCAAATTCAGGAATATTCAATTGTTAGGTGTAAAACAACGTATAAAAGTGACTTGAGAAAATGACATTATAATGGAACAATTAATACAAAATACCACTACACAGAACGAGATGAAATACCTTCCAAAAACACAATGTTTTCCTGATGCATGCTGATTTGATCAATTAGTAACCGCATCTCATTCATGCAACGGTTTTCTGCTTCCACCTGTTATGATTCCATTCTTTCACTTGCACAATAGAACTTTTGAGGGTAGATAGTACACAAACTCATTAATCCCCCGAAACAACTCAATTACTTATATAATTGCCTAGGAAACAAGATCATAAAACTAAAAGATACTAAGATTTAAGCTTCAGAGAATGAAATTGTCTAGGAGAACATGATAAAATGATTTAATTGGATAACTATCAGCTATATAGATCTAGCATCCCAATATCTTGAAGCAATAAGAATACTGAATAGACTAACTGTGAAACATAAAAGGGTATACTTACTGCAGCTGCAACTCTGTCGGCATACTCAGATTGTGTCGTAAACAACTTCACCTGATGGAAAGCTTGAAGAAAATAAATCAAGGGTTTACAGATATAACACACCAATTAGGATAAACATGAGACATGAAATTGTATGTCCTGATACTTCCTACACTTTCTCCTACATTTCCATATTGAAGTCCTTCAATTTCCCCTCTTTCAAGAACGTGAAACCATCATTTGTTTAAAGGAGCTCGCACTAGCTTATGGAATAAAGCAAGAAAGATGCATAATAGAGGTAGTTCGTCTACATGTAACATAGAAGATGAGCAATTAAGGATCGAATAAGGATGATTAAGTGGGTTCAGATAGCTGGAGATTCAACCAATTGCATAACAACAGTGATCAAACTGGAACACAAATTAATAAAAAGTATGCCACTAAAATTTATGTCCAACCTGGATATAGATGAATGCGAATGTAAAGAAAATAAGAAGACATCTGAAAACCCTAGACCATCTCCCCATTTTCCTTGTGCGGTTTTTTGGATATGAACCGCAATGGAAAATCAACTGCTTCTTCAACTCTGCCGGAGATCACAAGAATCTTCAACATCCGGGTCACCAAATCATCTCGGGTCGTCCATATATTTAAACGGTTTAGTGTCTTCCTTGGTGCTTAACGAGGTTGTACGGTACAACTGCACAAAACGTAAATCGTTGTTAAACCCATGAAAGGGGAGGCTTCTTCTAAACCCTAATCCGCAGCTGTCAATGATCGATTCATCTGCTGGAGATACACGTAATTCTGGATCTATCTTCTTTGAATCAAAGGTATGGTTCACTCTAATACTATATGATTAATCTCTACCCAACATGATTTAATATCGAATTTGTATCCATAAAAGAAGTTTTTTTGTGTATGCAATATGAATACATGTTCAAATCCATGATTGTGCACAACGTTACCTGTTGATTTGAATGACGATCATCTTGTTACCTGTTGATTTGTATGATGATCATCTTATTTGAACCTTATTCAAATCCATTTTGGTGAAGATGTAACTGTTCTCTGATCTTAAGATTAGTCGATAGAAATTAAACCTTCATGGAATTTTCTTTTGAACAAAATGACAGCGATTTCAAGGTATTTAGTCCAATGAATTACAATTTACAAGGTTAGATGCAATTTGAATAACAACTTGATGATCAACAGTATCAATTAAATTATCGATTTTAGAGCATTTGCAGCAGTTTTTTTTATTCTTTATAAATGGCATCAAACTGAATTTTTTATCCATTTCATCAATAAAGATTGAATTAACATCATTTTTATATATAATTTTAAAAAATGTGTGTTTGATTTAAAATTATAAAATATTTAAATAATAGAATTAATGATAGAATTTTGAAAATAAAGAATCTTTTGGAGTTATCGGAATTCTTGCAATTTTAGGTTTTGGATTTTCAAACACTATTACTTAGAGCAACTCCAATCGAACGACAAAACCTTGTATTTGCCGTTTTCAAAGTTCCAATCGAACGCCATTTTTTTGCCGGAGGGTGAATTTGAGCGGCAACAATGCCGTGCGCGATTTGGACACCAAAAAGGTCCAATTTTTTTTGAGAAATTATAAATATTAATTTTTTGGTTTTTACATTTATTGAGCGGCAACAATGCCGTGTGTGATTGATGTTGAGTTTTTTTTAGTGTATACGGAGCCAGGTGTTTTTGGTGTGTGTTTTTTGTGATATGATTGGAGTTGCTGTTATTGACTTGTTTTTCTCAATTTCAAGGAGACCAGACCTCTACCCTCTCAAGGTAGAGTGGTAGAATCTCCAACTTGTGCAAAATTATAAGCTTCATATTGGGTGCAATCAAGGTTTACTGAAGCAGCAAAGATGGTTTCTTTGAAAGAGATCGCACCAGCAGCACGGAACAACATCAACGCCCACTTGATACTTCTGGAGAAAGGCCGGATCACGAGCGAAGGTCAAAACAAGACGTGTTTGGCATTGGTCGCAGACGAAACAGCATCCGTTCACTTCCAGCTCTGGAATGAAGAGTGCGATGCATTTCAGCCTGGAGACATTCTGCGTTTATCCAATGGCATCTTCTCTTATAATCGCACCAATCATCTGGTGCTCAGAGCCGGCAAAAGAGGTCAGCTAGAAAAAGTGGGAGACTTCACGATGCTCTTCGTGGAATCACCAAACATGAGTGAGATCTTGTGGGTTCCCGATCCAAATAACTCCGCTAAATACATCCAAGAATCTGTTATTTCGCCCCATTCCCGTATTTTCCCACCATTGCAATAAGCTGTCTTTCTTGTATCTGTTTTTGTCTGTATAACATTTACTACCGTATCTGTCTCGACTTCTTCTTTTGTACATGTTCTCAAATGGTGCTTAAAGTAGTTATCAGAAAGCCAGAAGTTCAGCCACATAGAAAGTCAAGTTAAGAAAAGAAAGCATTAAGCTAATCTATAGGGATTTCAAAATTTCATGTTCTATAACACATCAAAATTTAAACCAAACCGAAAGCGTAAGAAAATAATATACGAAACACACGCTCGAAGACCTTTGACTCAATTGTTCTTTGCTGCAGCAACCTGTTTTGCGCCAACTGAGAAGAATTCCGTGATCACTTCCAAGGGCATACCTTTCGTTTCTGGAACCTTCAAGAAAACAAACACCCATGAAATGACGCATACGATGGCATACAACCCAAAAACTCCCGACAGACCAATGGAAGTGAGTAACATGGGCAGAGAATAGGTGACGATGATATCACAGATCCAGAATGTGAGGGCACAGATAGCAATGCAGATCCCACGAACTCGGGTAGGGAAGATCTCGGCACACAGTATGTTGGGAATCGGACCAAATCCCATGACGAAAGTACAAAAGTAGATGACGACGCTAGCAGTTGAGATAGCCGCATTTGCAACGTTGCCAAAGTTTATTAGACCTCCTACGACCAAAACTATGAGGGTCAAGATCAATACGGGAATCGTGGTGAGTAGAAGCGTCCTGCAAAAACAAGACAAGGGTGACAACTGTTAGGATATATAAAACCCCTTTGAATCTAGAGGTTCCAACATATATACAAGTTTTTGTGGTCTGTGTCTAGCCGATGTAGGTATATTACCTTCTTCCGGAGATATCCATGAGTCTCATGGCCATGGCAATACAAGGGAGCATCAACAAAGTTGTGAGGGTACTAATGAGAAGAGATGAGGAGGTTGAACTGATGCCCAAATTTGATAAGAGAACACCAACACCTGCCTCCTCAAGGATCTGAGGTGTGTAGTAAAGGACTCCATTGATGCCAGAGAACTGCATAAAAGGTCAATAAAATATTAAAAAAGGGTCAAGCTAGCTTATCAGCCAACAAGCTAGTTCGCCACACATGGGTTTAATCCAATAACTGTATCTAAACGAAGACAAAAGAAAAGAAGCAAGGGCAAAAATTCAACTTGTATTACCTGTTGAAGGATCTGAAGACCAACCCCAACAAACAATGCATGCTTGACTCCTGGTTCGAAAAGATCAGACCAGCTTGCGCCTCTCGTTGCTGCTTCAGCCGGGTGCACCATGGCTGGTCCAATTGGATGCTGATCTTTAAGGTCCTTAGAATAAAGCGCAGGCTGACTCACTAGAGCTGCAGCCTGAAAGGACTCACCATCTGCTGGCATATCAACACCTGCAAGTGAAATTAGCGATCCACGCTGAGATCCAGTGCCCGCCTCTTGGTGCAAATAGATTCTTTTAAACCCTCCTTCCTTCTTTCCATCTTGACCATCTCTTTCCGTCCACTGCCACGCCAGCTGCCAACCACCGCCAATGCCCGTGCTACTCACCTGTTCTGCATTCCCCTGTGTAATGCTGTTGTTTCTAACGCTCAAAATGCTGCCATGGGAAGCCGGCTGAATCATGTCTTTCTCCAAACTTGTGGTCTGTCGAGAAATCAATGGAGAATGCAAATTGTCATCGGAATCATTCCCAGCAGCATCAGAATGATAATCTTCACCTTCTCTACCACCATCACTTTCTTCATCCCAATCATCATGTTTGGCTTGATTTCCAGTAACACTGAACATGCTCCCAAAATGTGGGAAAAGCATGCTTCCTTTGCTCCCGATGGTATCTGGAAGTTTCTCGTGAACGCTTCCAAAGAGGGTGACGAGCGGGTCCATAAGGGGGACACTCGGATTGATGGTGCTTCCTTGACGAGATGCAATCCCAATCATACTCTGACCAGTGACCGGTCGGGCAATCCAAGAGACCCCTTCTTCGTGACCATATAACTTAATTTTATCAGGTTCTTCGATAGCATCATCCTGCTCAAGGTCGTTTGCAGGGCCGATTATGTACTCTTCTATAGATGTCTCTCCTCCAATTCCCAGACCTTCAACCAGTAAAGCCATCTCCCCTGTTTATAACACAATTAAAAGTTGCTCATATGATGATTTTGTGGATTGCCAAGAGAATGAAAGAAAGTAACGGAATTTTGATACAATAATGAATTTGTTGTGTTCGGTAACGTTTAAGCAATTTGTTTATTTTTTGAGCTTATTGAAAAAGTATCGTGTGGTTAACATAACCTGAAAAGTTAATTCAAGTAGCGTTTTAACAAGCTCCATGAGTTTTTTTCCCCATTTTTTCCAATTTAATTTTTCAACATGTCCTTCTAGGTCATTTCACATTATGAGCTAGATTATTAGCTAATTTTTACCAACTATAGCTCGCTTCTTAGCCGGTAACTACTAATCTAGCCAATAGCTAGCTTATCAGCTAGTTTGCCTTGTATGTTTGTACCAGGAGATAAAAGAATTGCAAACCCGAGCATAGGTGAAGTAACTTGAGTTTCATGCCAAAGTTTCTTTATGATAAATCAACAATGGAGGTAGGAGAGAACTTGCCTGCAACGTCTTCTCTGCCACGTAATCTCTGCAAAACCTGCTTGGCCTCGAGCATTCTTCCTTTGCTGACCAACCACCTTGGAGACTCGGGCAAGAAAAAGACCGTAAATATGAAAAACCCGAGTGCAGGAATAGAAAGAACACCAAGCATCAACCTCCAACTGGGTGCCTCCATTAAAGACATCCCAAAAACCATACAGTATGAAAGAAACATCCCACCAGACCCCATGAACTGAGGTAAAGTATTGAGTGTACCTCTAATCTCAGGAGGCGCGGTTTCAGATATATAAACAGGAACAAGAGTGACCGCCAACCCGATTCCAAAACCATCTAATAATCTAGCCAATAGAAGCACATAAACGTTGGGTGACCACAGCATAACAAGACCACCAAAGAAATATAGGACAGAAGAGATAATGAGCATGGGTCGTCGGCCAAGCCAATCCGCTACAGCACCAGAGCAAGTTGTGACCAAAGTGGCACCAATGAGTGACATAGCCACAATCAGACCCTCAATAGTTGGTTCATTTTGCAAGTTGAACTCTTTCTTTATGTATAAAACAGCCCCTAAATCGCATTACAACCACAAATTGTCATCCAGAAAGATAGTTTACAGTTAAGAAAGCATAAACCTATAAATCAAACCCTCAACTGTTGGTTCATTTTTGCAAGTTAAACATCCCCTAAATCGCATTAGAACCAGAATTATGATTCCAGAAAGATGGTTTACAGTTGAAGAAAACATAAACCCATAACCATAAAGCTAAGATTTGAGATTTTACACGCAAATTAAGCTCATTTTTTCAAATCGCAACACAAAATATGTGGGTTTTAAGCAGTTTACCAGCAATAGTAGCGTTATCCCATCCTTGAAGTAAGTTACCAACAGCAGCAACAACAGCCACCAACACAGCTCCACTCATTTCCCTTCTTCTTTCTATTTAGACCTGGTCAATCCCCGAATCAAAAAACTCACAAAAATTAAGCATAAAGACTCGGAGACAAACAAACAGACATCTAATTAAACACAAAAATCAAAGCAATCGAGCGAAGGAAATAACACAAAAAGATATGCAATTAAACAGACAGTTGGGCGAAATCCCAAATCTAAACTCGTCGATTACCGCGATGAAAGATTGATTGGTGGATAAAAGGGGAAAACCAGTGGTGGTTAGATGAACCCTTTTCCTCTTCGAAACTGATCTGAATGAGAATGAACTTGGATTCAGTTCAACTTCAACATACAGTTGCTTGAAATGAAAACAGAAAGGTGGGAAAACAAGATGATTGATTTCCCATTAGTTTATTTCAGTGGTGGGGGATGGGTATAAATCAAACTAAGACGCATTTCCTTTCAATGAAGACCACAGCTGCGAAAGAGAGCATCCTGTTTTGTTTTGAAGAAATCTCCCACGTACGTGAAGTCGACATACTATTCTACAGGTTCAGGGACTACATCTGTATTTATATACAAGTAGAAGGACTAGTTTAGCCAAATTCTTTTTGCGGCAGCCGCTGAACGCAAGACACTTGCACCCACGTCGGTTGCCTTTCTTAATTCTTGCTACCTTACGTCACCTAAATTTACCCATTCTAAATCAAATTAATCAATGTCATTTTTTTACCTTTAAAATAAAGTGAGACTAGTCAGTTTTCGTAAGATCTATGAGATTAGTCTATTTTTGTAAGGTCTGTGAGACTAATTTTTTATATTTAAAAATTCATAGCAAAATATTGTGAATGTTCGACTTTTTTTTTACCTTCACGGTGTTTTATTGTAAAGTTTCAAGTATAAAATTATGGTTTTAGGAAAATAAGTTGGTCTCACGTGAACCCAACCCTCAAATAATATGGCAAAATAACATGAGAATATCAACATAGAAGTTTAATGTGAATCCATTGGAGAAATTAATAAAATTTATTTAAGAGCTATATGTCAATCAAATTTACAGATATTTATATGAATTTACATATAAATCTTAAAATAAATTATTTAAAGAGTTCGGTTTGATGAAAATAAGAGTTTTGATGAGAATACAACATTCATATATATATATATATATGTATGTCTTACATTCAACTACTTTAATTACCTATTTTTATCATTATGACCAAAACTTTATCAAATTCATTCATGTAAAAATGATTAAAGGTATGTAAAAGTCCATGAAAGTGAAGATAAAAGTAGATTAATATAATTGAAAGCAAATAAATATAATTGAAGGTATTGAAACCACAAGGATGGTGTGTGATTGGTTTGAACTTGACTCCAAAAGTCAAAAGTATCAAGAGGTACCAGGTTCAAATCCAAAAAGAAATAAAAATCATCTTGTAGCCACAGAGGTTCAAATGTGATGACTCCGAGTTATCTGTAAAACAGGTGGTCGCCCTGAGATTAGTCGACTCGAATAGTGGGTTGGATATCCAAGTTAATAAAAAAAAAGTTACATTCAAAGGCTCATGAGTGTTCTTACTATTCACATCATAACTCTTATTCTCATACAATCTCTCGTCTAAATATGTGAGAACCCATAAAATCATAGGAATTTTGAGAACCAGTACATCATATTCTATTTCACATCATTCTTTTTCATCCCAATACTATGAATTTTAAGGTTTTGATTAATATATACATAACAGAATTTCTCATTATGAATTAAATATATATGAAACAAATAAATTATGAATTAAATATATATTAGTTAATATTTTAAATGTTAATCATAGGAGAAAAAACATAACAAATAATACTTTAAAATATATAGGATTTTTATTTGAGTGTGCTCTCTCTCTCTCTCACACACCCACACACACACACACATATATATATATATATATATATAATATGTATTTGGAAATATAATAATTGAGGGGATATAATAAGTTAAAACAAGGTGAAATGATTTAAGAGTCATAGATTTGGAATAATAATTAAAAAAAAGAATTGACAAGTTGAATTGATTCCCACCACTTCACATATTCATAGAAAAGAAGTGGGAGGGATCATCACCACCAATAATTTATTCATAATTGGGTCCCACTTAACCTTATAATTTGATTTATGTAAACTCATTTGTTTTATATAAATTATTTATTTAAATAATAATATAAACAACATATCTCTTTACATGATATGAGAATCCTCACATAAATAAATACATATGAAAAAAAATCTAAAAAGTGTTTCTGAATGTGCATTTAAACTTATTACAGTATTTTTTTTATTAATCTATATATCTAACCCGTTATGCGAACTGATTAATCATATAGTGATCATTTATTTTGTGGGTAATCCAGAGTCATTGCATTTGAACATTCATAGTCATAAGCGGATTTTTTATTTCTTATTGGATTCGAACATGGGACCTTCAGACACTTTTGACATTTGGAGTTCAAGCTTAAACCAATCAGACACCACCCATATGATTGATTACAGTAATTTAAATGATTGGTAAAAGTTAATTTTGATTTACCAAGCTTACAAATCGTGTAACATTTGATATGGTCATATAGGGTTCGTCTGTAATGACTCCAAACTGTCTATGACCGTTCGGATGATTAGTTGGTGTACGTAGTTGATTCATAAATTCATGCTTACGTAAAAAAAAAAAAAACATTTGATATGTAGTAACGGAATGGATGGTTATCATGGAATGAGAAAGTGGATCCTTTCGTTTGATTGATTTTTATTCATACAAACGTAAATTGTTTTTGTTTTCTTTTGTTCTCTGTATTTTACGTCAAAAACGTTATATGTGAGACACCCACTTTTCATGATACCATCTTGGAACCCTTAAATAAGTTTCTTTTGTCTCATTGAACCTTCACATGACATTGAAAACACTCAACATTCACAAAATAACTGTTTAATTTCAGTTCTTTTTATACATAAAGTTTTTTATAACATAATCTTATTTGATAACAATTTTTTTCTCCAAATTTTTTTCAAGAACTAAGCCATTGAAAATAGAAAAGTAAGTTGGTTTTTTTTGTACTTTTCCCTATTTTAAGAATAAACTATAAATTTGGTCCATGTGGTATGTCAATAACACTTTTTGTCTTTATAGTTTTGAAATTAAAATATTACCATCGTGGTTTGTAAAAACGTCTGGATTGAATCATTCCCTCTAACGGTAATTAAAAATTCCGTTAAATGAGAGACTTTTTTGTCTTTTTATCGATTTTTTGTCACTAATCAAAAACTACGGGAATTAAAATCATAAAATCAATTTGATTGGATAAAAAATGAAAATGCCCCTCATTCAACGAAATTTTTTAACGATTGTTAGAGGGAGGGACCAAAACCGGATGTTTTTATAAATCACGATAGTCATCTTGTAATTTTAAAACTACAAAATATATAAATTGGATTTGATTAAAAGTATGGGATAGGTTAAATATACAGAAAGATGCAGCGATGGACCCAATTTTTTTTTTTCAAATGATGGCACCATTTGAATATAAGAAAAAACTATATGGAAAAATTCTCAAACAGTGACACCGTTTGACTATAAGAAACAAATATACAAAAAAAATTTCAATTGGTGACACTATTTGACTAAGAAAATGACACTAACAAGATCCGAACTTGTGTCTGAGGTAGAATAAGAGTCTTGCAAACCAACTCTACCAAATAAAACATGTTATCATTGTAATTTCAAAATACATATGTTGACACACAATAGATTAATACGGTTGCACATTTCACGAACCTAAATTATTTTACCCTTCGATGGATGAATAATATGATGGCACATGCCACCGTAACCACCATGATAAGTCCGTCCATAATAGGTGTTAATAAATATCTTAACATCATGACTTATGGTTTATATATAATTTAAGTTGCTTTGAATATAAATAGATGTATAACAGCAACTAAACATAAAAAGTTGATGTGATTCAACATTTTGATTGTTATCAAAATACTTTGTGACCAAAACCCAATTGATTGTTTCACAAGTTGCCTCTTAACTTTACAACTGATTTTCATTTTTTAATATTTATTTCAATTTGTTTTATATTTTATATTTTATATTATTTATTTTACATTTTATTATTAATAGCTGTTATAATCAATCACCTTCTGTCAGATAATTAATAAAATAAAATCTAACCATAAATGAATTTTTAATTAAAATGTAAATATTTTTATTAATTTATTAGTGCAATGATATTGATAATAAAGGTCAAATATTATTAATCTAATGTAAAGTGTGTGTATGTATATAATATCCAGTTTTTTTATGTTCTTAGTGGGACTCTAATAAGAGAAAATTAAAAAAAAATATTTTATTTAATTTGAAAATATAATTTCTTTATTAATAATAAATTATGTGATTGAAATAATAAGCCTAATGGCTTGTTTGTTTTTTGAAAAAAACCACTTAATGTCTCTTAAGTCTGAACCGGTCAGACGTTTTTATTTTCAGACCGTTTGTTTTTTTATATAAATAAGAGATGAAAAGCTCTTAATTTGCTCTGAAAAAAAAAAGTGATAACATAATCACTTAAATCCTCTTAATCGCTCCCTCCAGATTCTCCCCTCCATCCTCACCTCCAGATTTAGTCCTCCAAATCTATCTCGCAAGACATTCGATCTCCAAATCAATCACGACCCAGATCGATCCACATATTCTCGTAAAATCATGACCCAAATCGATCCAAATCTATCAGATCTGAAATTTGACTAATTCAGATTTCAGATCTCAGACGTAAAAACAAACAGTCTGACTGATTTAGATTTCAGACTTCAGTACCACCTCTWAAAATTCAGAAGTGAAATCAGACTTCAGACTTCAGAACCTCTTAAAAAACAAACGCCACCTAAGTAAATGACTACCTTTAAATTCTCTGGTGTGTAGCTTGCTTGACAAACGGATGAGACAAATTTATAAATACAAGACATGTTTCGGGTTTGATTTTGGAATTTTTGTTAGCTTTAACCTATGAATGAGTCAAAAAATGTCTTATTATATTGGTGTCCTCGAAGACGGGTTCTGTATGGGTCCTATTTGAAGTTGCGGTAATCAATTTCGTGAGCAAATAACTACCTTTTTAAAACTAAACTCTTTAATACAACATTTATTCGACTCACTAAATTATTAAAATTGTTATTTTAGAGTATGTTCAAATAAAATTCTAAATGTGGTGAGAATGTAAGAAGTGATGGTTAAGGGTGATGTTGGTATGCGAATCACTGGAAAAATCTATTTGAATATGTATATGTGAATTTATATGAAGAATCTATAACGTGGCTATACATACATATATATATATATATATATATATATATCTCTACAAAATAGATTTT